CCGAGAGCGTGGAAAAGCGAGGAAAAGTCCTTACGAGTTAAGTACGCGAGTCAAGCAGGGATAGATGAATTAAGAAGCCATGATGTAGGGTGGCTACATAACCTAAAAAAAAAAAACCGCGCGCCCTCTCGTCTAACCCTCGGTTATAGGACGCAAATCGAAGAGGGACGGACGGTTGTTGCATGATGTTGCATGATGTATGTTATATGTTGTATGTTGTATGTTGTATGTTGTGCGTTACATGTTGTATGTTGTATGTTGTGCGTTACATTTTGGATGTTAGAGTGGCGGGAGGACAAGGAGAGAGAGAGAGAGAGAGAGAGAGAGAGAGTGAGAGAGAGAGAGAGAAGAGGGAGGGGGAGGAGTGATACAGCCCGGAAGATGAAGCGGTAACGATTAATCTCGAAGCTAAGAGAGAGAGAAGCTAAAAGATAAATAGAGAGAGTAGAGAAGATTATAATATGGAAATAATCACCTCTCGTTTAGAGTATGAGAAGGTCGTCAAGGTCAGGCGATGTGATAGAAGGGCGGCCACTTCTCGAGGCTGCGTATGATCGCACTCGCGTGTCTCTCTCGTGTCCGCGCAACGGTACGTCATGCAGTGGCGGCCGGCGACAAGGCTCTTGCACTTCCAGACTCCCAGCCACCGAGCGGCGACTCCCGCGCCCCGATCAAACTGTCTGCTGCTCTTTCTTCTCTCCCTCGCACTTTCTCACTCCTGTTCACTCTACGTCTATGCCTGTCTGTTTCTCTTTATAGATATATATATATATATATGTATATATGTATATATGTATCTCTCTCTCTCTCTCTCTCTCTCTGTTTCCCTCTTTCTCGTGTTCTCGCTCGCGCTCTCTCGTTCTTCTTCAGCTGCTAGTTTTGGGGTTATTGGGGTTCGGGGAGGGACTGGTCGCAGGCTTCGTCGAACGTATCCCTCGCACCTCGGCCAAGGACCAAGCGAGACTAAGCACCGAGAGCGAACCAAACGAACCAAGTTTAGCAGCCTTGCATCTCGTTATGTCGCCCGTCGCGTCTGCGGCTTTATACGAGAGAAGTTAGGTAGTAGCACCGGCTGTGGTCTGACATCAGACCATGTGGCGACGACCAATGGGTGTGCGACGCCGATCCGCGCCTGCGCTCTTAGCACGCGCGAGCGAGAACAAGGGGACAAACGAGACGGAGAGAGAGTGAGAGAGAGAGTGAGAGAGAGTGAGAGAGTGAGTGAGAGAGAGAGAGAGAGAGAGAGAGAGAGCGAGTGAGTGAGTGAGTGAGCGAGTGAACAGCAGTAGGACGCCGGTACACACTTGCGTCACGCGCGACGACTATTCTCATGCGATAAGCCGCGAATACGAATACTTTTATCGGATGCTACAGTGTTGGCTAGGGGGTGGCGGTTGGAGAGGGGCAGCGATGAGCCATGACACTTGTCAAACGCGTGCACGAGATAGGGTCGTTCGGTCGGCGCGCGAATTCGAACGCTCGAGGAGATGAGCCAAGGCGTCGTGGTCGTCGTCGTCGTCGGCATAGTCATCGTACATACGTATTTAATTTTGTTCCAGCGGTACGCTAACGGTGCCTCGATTTATTATTTTGCCTCTTTGTCTACCCACGAATTTAACCGCCCTCGCTCCCTACGAATCACAGACGTTATTTTTATTTCTTTTCTTCGTTTGTCTTTGTCGTTGATTTCTGCTTTTCTTCTTCTTTCTTTTTTGTTTTTGTTTTTGTTTTTTTTTTTTTGTTTTTTTGTTTTGTTTTTTGATGAATGTCGCGTCTGTATACATCGCTCTCGTATATTAACGCGAAGACGATAATCGGTTAGTTCGTACCCGCTGATGAAATCGTTTAACTCCGGAAAAGCCCTCGCAATCTTCCCCTCCCACTACGTACTTGTGCCCGCTGATTCTTACGACCAAACTCAAAATTATCGTTAAGACATTGCCTAATCAGAGCAATGGGGCTCCCGTTTAGGCTCAAGCTTAATTCCACGAACGGGACGATTAATGATATTAATAATTATTATTGGCCGCATGCCATTCGGTAATCTCATAATGTCGATATAAATTACACGACACAATCGGAATTAAAAGCGAGGGTCCGGAATTAGTCCCTTTATTCGCACCAATTAGCCAATTTAGTGCGTATGTCGAAATGAAAATCTCCTCGAATTATCCTGTCGGCATCTTTAAATTCTTCCCTCTAAGCAGCTTACGATAAAGTAATGAAAGCGAAGCGAATCCCGTTAGCCTCCTAATTAGCGATCGTCTTCCTTACTCTCCATCTCGCACACTCCACACTGTGCATGGATAAGATGTGCCTCGACTAACATAATTAACTGTGGATTATTATCGACGGGAAAAGTTCAGTCTAGACGAGTGCATATCGCTTGCTCTAAGTCCTCCGAGCGAAATAAAAAGGACGCGTCGTCGTCGCCGATTTGTGAAAAGCGTCGCTCTCGCCAACGTCTTCTCTTACAAAGCTCGAGCGAGCATCGAGCGTGCTCGGTGGTGGCAATGGTGGCAATGGTGGCAATGGCGATGATGGCGGTCGGGAGGGGCGGGGAGGTACTCGGCCTCGGGCCAATTAACCTCCTACATTGGACACGACGCGCCATTGGGCCATTACTTAGGTAATCGTCTTAATAATCATCGGAGGGACGGAAAGTAAGAGAGAGCCATTGTCTCGGACAGCGGTGTCCCGAGTTTGCCGTCGTCTACCCGGAGCCTTATCGGCTCGTCCCTTCGAAGATGAGATCGATGCACACGTGGGGACCGGCGACGACTCGCACGCGACGCCCGCGTGGCACTTGGTAGCGAGATACCCGAACGGTTGCGTAACGCGTGGGTCTCACGTGAAACGTCGTCGACGGATGACGACGATGCGACGCCGAATATCGATGCACGATTATTCCGGGGGATAAGCGTGAGGAGGTCGAGTTCCCTCACCCTCCCCCACCCACCCTTCGCCAATTCCTTCGAAGAGCATTATTTGGCTGGTCCCTTGGTCTTTGTGCCGATTTCTGTCCCGTGATGCGCGTAGGTACGTTTATTTGCATTATTAAGATTGATTTGTGCTAACGTGATGTGCTTTGAATGGGCTTTCTTTTTTTTTTTTTTTGTCTGTTTCTGTTTCTTTTTCTTTTCTTTTTTTTTTTTTTGTTTATTGACCTCGAGGTGCCTTTATGTCTTATTATTCTTAATACGAGAGTGTCTTATACTAATTACGAGCTCATTAGAACACCCAATACTTTACAAACTATATGTTAATTGGTGTTTCTTACGCGTTCGTGCCTCTCGTCATTAATGCGCCGGCGCTTATTAATAATGCAAAAATTCCTTTAATGACGCGCTTAATGAACGCGAAAAATTGGTAATACCATTGTTAGTATGCAGAGCGATACAACGTTTTCTTAATTGAAAAAATGAATTAAAATTTGCAATGGAAATGAGTTTTCGAATGCGTGATAGGAGCTTATGGTCTTGATATATTACATTAGCCGGTTGATTTTATTTGAGGAAACTCACGGAAAATGATCCAATTTTATAAAATTGTTCCGAAGCTCGTCAAAGCGTTTAATGAAATGTCGGCACTTGGTATGACTGTTTAGGTACACCGAGGCACGAGCACAATTGGTCGAGTAATGAGAGTAATTGTAGCGAGAAATTTACCGGCTATTTAGACATATTCGGAAGGTGATTGTCGAGAATAATTAATTTGATTATAAATATGATATATACACTTATTGGATAACGATTTGATTTTACTTGCATAATATTGCCGATAATATTATAATAATCGAGTGGATTATTATATTGGCGTGGTTTTTAAAAGAATTACTTGCGCATAAGGTTTGATAAGCTTTTAGCAAATTAATAGCAAATTTCGATTGATATACTGTAATTAGAATTATTAATAATATTAATACATTATATGATTTTGTAAAAATTCAAGGCAATTCTTCAAATTAACGTAAATAGTTGACGATTTTTTTTTTTTTTTATCCAACGAGAATAATAATGTGTATGCAAAATCTTTTATGAAAGATGTACATAGACGAATTCTATTTATTGCCAATTAATGTCAGCCAATATTACCATAAGCTGACAGCTCATTTCATTCAAAAATATTATTTTTCAGCATTATGTTGAATCGACTAGACCTGCATTTTCACTAATCTCCAAGCAAACTTTCATCATTTTAGTTATTTCATAGGGATTTTGTTGTTATTATTATTTTTTTTTTGCCTATGAGTTTTATCGACATACTTGTATCATTCTTCTGTTTCTTTCTTAACTGTCTCCACTTAATTTATGACGACGTTAAGACTGCACTAATCTATATATCATAGATAAGAGCTTTTCATGTTACTATGTTGTATTTACGTTTTCATGTATCTATAATGTTGGTCGAGTAACAACCCACTTGAACTACTATGTCTCAAAATATTTAATCCGTAAGAACTTTGTAGACGTTTGTGTAAAATCTATCTAAATAAGGCAGCATCGGCAATTTTTGCTTATCTTACCAATATATAATCTCAATCGGCTGTTCGTGATCGATCGCTTGCATATTTACAATTTTATCCGACAAATAAAAACGACATTCAATTAGCAAATGATTAACACGCAGCGAGGAGATGATCGATGCCGATCGCATTATTTTACGTATTATTATTATTATTGTCTTGTTTGAAGATTTTAGTTAATTTGTACTTTTTACGAGTGTGTGGGGGGGGGGATGAGTGAGAGAGAGAGAGAGAGAGAGAGAGTGAAATTATGTTAACGAATATTTCTTTAATATGTTATGACAATAATCTATATAATCTAGTACACGTACAAACATTTGTTGAGCATAATTTTATTTTGTATTGTTTCGTCCTCTTTGTACGCTCTCCATATCAACGCAATTGTATCATCATTATCATTATCATCATTATTATTATTATTATTATTATTATTATTATTATTATTATTATTATTATTATTATTATTATTATTATTATACTATCTTATTAGCTTATATTCATAAACGAACAAATATGATATGTTCGATAAGTCAAGTTCACATGTTAAATTATGTCATTTTAATTTCAAAGCGCTAATTATAGGCCAATCTTAGATCATCTGTAATCTCGAACGATGTGTTACGTGAAAAATAATCGAAGGCATATTTGCGACATTTTTCCATTACGACACGCGATACGAGCGTGGCGTGAACGATAAAACTGCAAGATAAAGTAACGTATACAAGTTACAATGTGTATGAGCCGCCAAACATCCGATGCGTGGCGCGATCGAATCTTTTTGCGCCCGCATTGATGATTCGCTCGTTCATCGTGCCGCCGTTTTTATCAATACGAAGTGAATCCGTTGGAGAAGATGAACAATTCGCCCGTTAATGCGCGAGACTCGCGAATGCCAGTAATTGCTCGGTTTTGCGGACGGATACGCGGGGAATTGTCATGCGATTTCTGATAATTTTTTCCACCCTTTTCACGATTAAAACGCTCTTTGCTAATGAGCTTTAATCTGCAGGGAATTTTACAAGTTGTTGCCACCGATCGCCTTATCCAAGCTAAATTTATAATTTTAAAAGCTGGCGGAGCTACTTTGATTATATATATATATATAGTTATATAGATTAATTCGTAGCCTAAATAAAAGTCTATATTTGTTTTATAAGAAATTTTTTGATCAACGTAAAAATGAAAATATGTTTGATTAATAAAATAAGTTAATGAAGAAAGATAAATTCATCAAATGAATAATGATATATTTAATTTGAAATTTTATTTGAATCCAAACATAATATCAATGCAAGTAAACAATTTTATCTCCATATAGTAGTTAAAATTAATTTTCTTAATTTAATTATGTCTCTGTATATTTACATATTCAACGTCAAAATAAAAAAATGTTTATTTATTGCTTAAAAAATGTGCTTTTATGATTTAAAAAAATCAAAGCAAAAAGAAATAAAATTGTTTAATAATTGTCAAGGTATCGATTCTATTTTTAATACATTATCATAGTGCTAGAAAGTGCTATACAACTTTTGTTTAAACTAACAATCGTTTCTTATTTTGTTACAATATTGTAATCTATGAAGGTTACAAAGCAGTAATAATTATTTAATGTTTAAATAAATAATAATTTTAAATCAATGTCTCATAATATTGTAATATTTATATATTTCTGTCGTTCGTGTATCTTAACATGTACGTTGCTTCAGTTTGAGATAAAGAAAGCTTTTTTAATTTTATCATAGAGTAAAAAAGCCAATATATAGAATTTGTAAGTAATTGATATTGTAAGTGCACATACTAAAATACAGGTTTACGAATTGATAATGTAGGATAAAAGATGAACTTTTATTTTATTTATTAATTTTTTTTTTTTTTTTTATATAAAACCAATAATAATTACATTGTAATGTATAAATCATCGAGAGTCGATGGCTTTCGATTAAAATTTTCACTTGATCTTAATGCCCGAACTATTATATTTAATTAATTTAATTCGCTTGCTTATTTTAAATAAGTAACTTGCATTTCCATGTTGGCAAATGATTTATTATAAGTGGTAGCTGAAAATGCTCTTGGATCTTGTGTATTTGTCATTTTATTTGACATATGTGTTTAATCGTTATTTCATCTCCTTGAATATCCATAAATAATGCAAATAATTATTTACCAATTATTAAATATAAATTCTCGAGAAATAGTGGTACCCGTAGTACTGAATGTGATATTTTGCAACTAACTAATATATATTAATTCATTAATATCTTTTATTAATAAGAATATTTTCTATTTATAATAACATGCTAGAACTAACTAATTAGACCGAAAATTTTTTTGAATAATATATCAGAACATTCATATTGACTTCAATATGGAGCACTTTATACATTTTCTTTTTTTTATAATAAAAAGAAAATAACACGATAAATAATTCGATGATTAACGATGATGACATATACATATTATCAAATTTACGAGGATAAATGAAATATTAATAAATAATTTAAAAAGCTCGTTCAAATAAATATATTAATAAAAGTCTTACAAAAAGGTTTTACAAAAGTTTAGTAATTACGTGAAATTAATATAAATATATAGTATAAATTAATAAAAAAAAAAAATTTTTTTAATTACGTTCTATTAATTATTACCTTTTGTACATTATAAAATAAAAATAAAACAGCATTTTAAAAAAAAAGAATACTACAAATATGAATTGGAGTAGTGTATGTAGTGGTACGTAATAAATCGAGTTACGTTGCATTATTTTTCCATTAATTAATAAAGTAATACTTATATATTCGTTATATATGACAAATATGAAATGTAATTACTGGTTTCTTCGTAAAATCCGTTACACGTTAGAATTGTATTGATTAAAATCTAAGTTCGCTCATTAAAATAAATACTAATAAATAAAAATTATAATAATATTAAAATAAATAATATGCATTCCGTGATAAATTATTATTTTTTTCCTTTCTTCTTCTTCTCGTTTTCTTCTTCCAATTTTGCTAATTCCAGTTCAATCGCTTTCTGCTTTCTTTTACAAGTAGGAGTTTTGTAATACCAATCTGAAAATTTTGTTTTATAAATAATAACTTCGTCATTAACAATTTCATTAATTTTCTGTTATCGACAAAACTTTCCAATACATGAAAATACTTGATACTTATGGTTTCATTATTCATATCGATAACAAATAATACTAATAATGCTTCATTGATTAGAAAAACAAAAATAAAGAAAAAAGAGAAAAAAAAAACAGAAAATTGAAAAAAAAAGATCGAAGTAAAAAATTCATTTTATGTAAATGAAATTGTTAATTATTTTAAACATCGACCGAATTATATATTTAAAATACATATTTTTCATAAGATCAATCGTCTAAATCCACGTTGACTACGTACTCAAAAATGCATCTTCCTCTTCGCGATAAATTGGATTTTTCAAGCTTAATGCGTTGATAAGTTCAATGTGCGTTAATGGCTGTACTCTCAATTGAACCATACGCTTGGTCGTCATTACCTACAATATACGTACACAAAAGAAGATTTTATGTGCAGTAAATGACATTTTAGAAAAGAAATAATGATTAGAAATATTTATTGATTTACACTGTCAATAGTTGAGAGTACTGTGCCAATTGTAAAGCCATCACAAAGTTTTGCCATTCCAGATGTATTAAATTGCCTGTTAATGCCTGAATACTAAAAGCAAACGGTAAGTAAAAACTTTAATTTTTAAAGCTAATATTTGGATCTCTTTTATTTTGACTTTTTTCACTCATTCGTTGCCTTATTTTACTTTGATTGTATTAATTGCAAGCGAGGATTAGTTGAAATTAAAATGCCAATATATTGCAACTTTTACTTTTAATTAATGTTTTTTTTTTTTACAGATGCATTAAATGATCAATGATTTTATCTTATATACCGACATTGAAATTTTTTCCTATTAAACTTATAAAAGATCTAATTATATTAAAAGCAGTTAATATATGCAATTTATTTTATATTATTGATAACACATACACGCTCGTACATTAATTATTGTTTTTAATTTAAACAATTAGTATCTTAGAATAAATTACTCGTGTGTTTGTGTTTGTGTTTGTGTGTGTGTGCGCGCGCGTGTGTGTGTTGTGAGTAATACGTTATCAATCGAATTAATTAATAATGAATTGATATTAATTTGAGAATTATAGTTTAATCTATTTACCTTATAAAGTAAGTCCTTCCAAATTAGTGACATCGAGCCATAATCCGGCCGGGGAATAAAAATAACTTTATCGTATGTTTGATAAAGAAGTTTTTGATCTCCGTTCCAAGGACTACTCGATGTTCCGATTAAAATAACTCTATCTTCGTTAGTTATATTTTTTACTAATTTTGGTAAGTCTTTTTTTAGTCGTTTTGGATCGGTCTTGTCAGCTTTTGGAACTTTTTTAACAAATGGTCTTTCGGCTCCCTCCATAAATATTACAGATGGTTGTAGAAGTTTAGAAACCTTAATATATTATGTAATATTTTTCTTTAATATTATAAGATTTATGTTCAGTTGCATTTAATAATAATAATAATAATAATAATAATAATAATAATAATAATAATAATAATAATAATAATAATAATAAAAAAAATTAAAAAGAATCCATAAATTTTCACGACAACATTAACAAACAATTTAAAAAAAAAAAAAACCCATTACATAAATTAATACTGTATCATTATTGTATTTTTATCGACTCTCAAGACTTGTATAATAAATAATACTCTTGGTCGTATTAAAATTTACATTGAAGAATTTGTAGATTATAATCTAATACGATTCGCCTAATGACATTCGGTTTGAGATAAATTTGAAAACTATGATTTATTACACTCAATAATATTTATAACGCGTATATTACGCTTATATTTTCAAAATTCATGTGCAATTTTTCATAATCACTAAGACTCCTACATTTTTGCTTCCAGTTATTCTTTATTCGGATCGAAGTTTCGCTCGGGCTTTAAGTTTCTCTCAGACCGCCGAGTTACATGAATATTGTTTAAATACTCGTCTCGAGTGATTAACGAGCGAACGCTAATCGTATAAATCGTACTTTGGAAATTAAATGGAGTAACATGATGAGGCCGGTCTTTCCGGGGTACTTGCCGACGATGTTGGATGGAGTGATATCGAAAAGTGTCGCTCCCAGCTCCGTGCAAATAGCGTGAACCAACATTTTTTTGCCACTACCACGTGGCCCGGCAATAAGAACTGACCTTACGAGGGGCGTTAATTCTCGCAATGTTTCACTTCCCATTGGCAGGATGCAGTATTCCTTGATGATTTGCCGTATATCGCCTATTAGAGTGGATAAATTTATGCAGTTCGCAATGCTTGTTGTCTACTGTGATTTAGCCTATCGCATAAATTTTTGTTTGTTTGTGTGTTTGTTTGTTTGTTTGTTTGTTTGTTGTTTGTTTAATTTAAAACGCGACACGATCGTTTTTTATTTTTATTTCATTGGTAATAATTTAAAAAATATTCCTTAAAGTTCGGTCATAATGCTAATTGTCAATTGTCAATGATGAAGAAAATCATAATGGAGATATTTATAAAATACAATGCAAAACTATTTAATACGCTTTGAGCAATATGTTAAGAAATAATTATGAATTAATAATTAGTAATAAACATTAGTTTTACCAAACGGCTATGGTAAGCAATATGCAAGCTTATATTGACATTATAAACATATTAACCAAACTAAAATCATTTCATTAAATAGGATTATATCCATGGAAAATGCAATTACAAATGCAATGAAAAAACTTAAAAATCTCTAAATAAAAAGCATAAATATTTCCTTTACCTATGGCTGGTAGGGTACTTTTACCCTTTTGTCTGAGATGGAAATTCGAATAAGACTTTTCTCCCTTGAAATTATCGATGTACACTTCTGGGCAAAGTTTTATTATTCCTTGGTGTAATAACTCCTCGAAAAGAGATCCCGTTGATCTATCCGGAGTCAAGTCTTTATCCTTCTTTTTCTTATTCTTCTTCCCACTGCGGCGTACTCGTTTTTGTGCTTTCTTAGCCCGTTTCCCTTTACAGCCCTTGTCCCTATCAAGGGCCGACTGCAAAGCTTCTATGTCAACTGTGATATATCGATTAATAAAAATCAGTAAATTCTTTTAATAATCAATTTTAAGAAATTGAATTTTAATGATGACAATGAATACGTGTACTTAAGCTACCAGACACTCTAATGCGCATTAAATTGAAATACGAGTTGACCTTCTTACTTCTCAAGGCTTGATCGACGTTGATTCTAATTTCGTTCTCAACTTCTTGTGTTTTTTCGGCCTCAACCATATCAAAATATGGTCGTTGGTCAAGATTCGATGACTCATCCTTGTCTTTCCATATTTCCTGATATTCTTGGTTGGCTTGGATAAGCTCATTTAAGAAATTCGATGGCATAAATTTAAAGCCAGTTATGTCCGATTCGGATTGCTGTTCCGTCTCACTTTCTTTCTTCGTCTTTGATGATTTTTTTGAGCGCTTTGATTCTTTGGACGAGGATACACCTGTCGATTTGCTCATTGAACTCTCGGTATCCTGAGTGAATTTAATTATAAATGATTATTGCAACGATTCCTTATACCATCGCATACTCAATCGATAATCGACCTCGCAAGTAAAGTAAAATTAATTTATTATTCAAAGATTTTCGTAATAAGCATACACATACATATGCATTAATATTAAAAATGTATATTAGAATATTTAATGCTGATATACGAATATCGAATTATTATTATTGTTATTATTATTATTTTTTTTAGTCATTCGGTTTATACAAAAATTCATTAAACGCGAAAATATGTCGCCTATACTGAGGAAGGAACTACTAAAATTACTGATATTCGAGGCCCAAGTTTAATCTTTAATTCTGTTGATATTTCAGTATCAGCATATAATAGAGCAATTCCCACTGATTTAAATCTCTTTATATATTATACGACCTCGAATATTTTCTGTTTATAAAGCCAATATTCGATGAGACTATTGACCCGCAATCGCACAAAACAATTTCAAAATTGAATAATTTAAAAATATAGTGTTTATGGATTTGATTGGCTCATTACCAACTTACGTACATTGCAACGAGCACTATATTGCGCACAATAATATTAAAAGAATCTAATGGGTAAATAAATATTAACTCGACCCAACGATGCTATTTATTACTTTAAAAGTTCGTGTTAAATGTGAAACGATAATTATTTCGATTAAAATTTAATTTTGAAAATACGATTTCATTTCCTTTGACTTACAGTAAAATTGTTTTGCTTTATATGAAATTAGTTTTTTTATGGAATGATGATTCGTTGTAAAAAAAATTGCGCGTCATAAATAGACCAGCGATTAGATAATTAATCGAGTGCCAAACATAGCATAAATTTTGAATTCAGTTGTTGAAATTATTCACACGATAAATAGTCTCTCAAAGTAGAATCCATTGAAATGTACAAAAAGCTTTCATAAACATAATTATTTATACGTTAATGAAGTATTAGTTAAAGTAATATTAGCTGAAAGTAATAAAAACTTATATCAATGTAATGCAGAGAAAAACAAATAGAGTATATCAAGTAGTAAATAAAGTATATCAAGTTAAGAGATACACACGATTTATTACATAAATCTCGATTTGTAATTTTATGTATAAATATAGGAAAAAATAGTAGGCCATTGGAATTTATCACATCTATGATCATTGATGATTAAAAGCAGTACAGAATGAACGTACATTGTCTATTTTATTGAACAACAGGCATTTATGTTTTTAAATTTATAAGATGTGTAGGCAGAACTTTGTTAACGAAAATTACTCTGACTCTGGAGCAAAAATTACAATGGAATGAGAAATTGGTCATGTAGTTAAATTTTCTTTCACAACAGAGAGAATACGAATAATTTCCATTATTTACAATGAAAACATATTAAAAAGTTTTTGACAATATCTTAAAATAGGATAACCATCGAGTATATATATATATATATATATGTGTTGTGTGTGTGTCTGTGTGTGTGTGTGTGCGCGCGCGCGCGCGCATGTGTGTATGAAAAAGCATTTACTGAATTTAAATACATAAACAATAATCATCTTGAATGTGAAATGCAAATGTACCAAGATTCTGTTAGATTGTTAAAAAATTTAACTTTTACTTACATTTCTCAATAAAAAATAAAGTTCGCAATAAAATATTTATTTAATTTATAACCTGTCGACTGAAAATTATTCGTGATCCTCCATTTTCCGCTGATGGCAACTCTGGAATCTTTCCAGTTTGCTGATAACACGTGTTAATCCAATTTCTGATCTCATTTCTTATAGTCTCTTCTATAATTGCACCTCTCTCCGTTTTTATTCTATCTTTCACTTCAACTATATATGCATCCAACATATCTTGAAATTCTTTTTGTTTTTCATATCTTTTCTTTTCAATTTGTTCCAATTGTTTGGTACTTGTAAAACTTATTTGATAAGGTTGCAGCATACCTAAAATGAAACAAATCGATTATTCAGTTGTTGCTTCAGCAAAATATACATTATTCAACGTAAATCACAATTTTATAATTACATATTAATATTCGTAACAACAATTTTCCAAATATTCTATAAACACGATTAATTATTATGATAAATCTTTTGATCAGTGTGCCAATTGTTGCTTTATTATTTACAATCTAAACGACTATGGGAAAAAAATTAATTCTTCATAAAAATAATTATGTAATTAATACAGAGACAAGAGAGAGAGAGAGAGAGAGAGAGAGAGAGAGAGAGACAGAGAGAGGGAGGGACATAATTCTATTGTAACAATAATAATTCAATGTCATTATTTTAATTTTTGTTCTCGTTTAAAGTTTATAAGCGACGAGCTGCTGTTAAAATATATTCATATATCCTAATTAAGTAATCTATCTAATCTAATACAAATTTACCTATTAGAAGCATCTCATCGAGTTTACGCTGACTAACTTTACGCCTCGTCGAATAGCCACGCCAAATCTTCTGTATTTTTAAAGCAGCCGCAGTCGCGGTCACCACATCCGGCTTTTTGAGTTCTGATCTAATCGTTGATTTTTCTTTCATCTCCAGAATCTCTTTCATGAATTGAAATCTTATGCGTCCTTGCCTCGCTCGCTCGTACGACTGTAATTATACATCTTAGCAAAACATGGAGATTTATATGTAAATGCTGTGAAAGCACTTTTTTTTTTCATTAACGAAATATGCGAAAGAAAATTTCTCCATCAGCCAAGGCTTTAATAATTATTGCTTTCAATTTGCTTTTTACTCTACTTTTTTTTTCTTTCTTTCTTTCTTTCTTTTTTTTTTTTTTTTCGATATATATCGACTATATTAATCTTATCGAATTATGGGAAATTGAATATCATATACACAGTAAGATACTTAGTTTGCTTAAAAGGCTTGAAAGTCTTATGCTACTTTATACGCATTACCATTTCTATAAGTGAGAGCTTTATTATAAAATGTACAGGTATTACGATAAAGCGAAATTATTAATAAAAAAGAAACTTTTGCAAATAATTGTCAATTTACCTGTATTAGTCGGATAGCTTCAAGCTCCGTCATTTTCTTTTTCTCAGATTTATCTTCGAATCCTCCCATATTGCGTAACGTTTCCTCGATGAACTTCCTCCTGTTCGCGATCTCGCTTTCTCTCTCTCGGCGAAAATATCGCGGGACTCTGAGCTCTAATTCATCGGGTGTCATATTCTCCCTTAAATTTTAATCGTTACATTACAGTTATAACCCGACACAATATGCACGAGTTAAAAATATAAAATAAAAATTTGAAAAAGCTGGTTTTGAGAATTTCTATTTAATTGGTAATATTTTTGTTCTTACAGAAGCTGCAATACTTATTTCAGAAGATACATCAATTATTTTTCTTGTATATTGTCTTCGATAAGAAGCAATACGAAATAAGGATATTAATTTTGCGTATCACAAGACTATTCGACAAAGCGCATTTTTTAATATCGCAGCTTCCCACTATTAGCCAATTTATAACTAATACAACCTAAGCTTGAGCAAGGCATCGTCAAAGTAATTGTACTCATCGAGCTCCAGCTCTACGAGCTCGTGCTTGAGCTCGAGGACGCGGCCGTAGGTGGATTCCAGGAGACGACGCAACAGTGAACGCTTCTGTGGTTGGACGATCTGGTCGTAGCACTGCTCCAACCTGTTGCTAAGATCGATGTAGCGGACGTAAAGGTAGACGACCTGTGATCGCGCCTCGTCGCGTTCCCGTACCGACGACGACGATTGGGCCAAGGAGTCGAGCTGCGTAACTTCCTCGAGGGACACGTGTGCCTCGCACCACATTGCGTCGTATGACGCATTCGTCATCCTGTGTGAATGTTACAGTATTAATAGTTATGCTTTAACATTTGCGCTGATATGTGTAATTTAATTGTCCATAATTTTAAATTGCGAAGGTGCTTTTACATTAAGAACATAGCTTATGAAACATTGAGAAACTTTATGAAAATTATAATACTTATATATTATTAGAATTGGTCTCTTTACTACGAAATAATATCCTCTTTATTTTCGATTTATTATAAATTTATTTAAATTCTTATAGCACGTATAATAGAAGTTTCAATATTTATTTCATTGTAATTTTCTTCTTATTTACATAGTGCATTTTATGAATCTGACAGCATTAGAAGAAAATCATTGACATTAAAGAACTAATTAATGTTTTCGTATATCACTTTTTGAAATTATAACGAATCTGCGTTTTTTTAACTTTCGTTAGTACTTTTCCATTATAACATCAAATTTAATCTTATTCTTTTTAAAATGATAATATAATTTTAAGCGATAATACAATTGCATAATAATCTTTTTTTATGATTGAGATAAAGTTGTAAGAGGCATTGATTTGTTGAGAATACATTAAGAATATTTCACGTTTTGAAAACGTTTAGTTTTATTTACTCGCATAAATTTTTGAAAATGAAAAAATCACCAATTGTTTTTAACAATTCCATGTATTCAAATTAATATATTTGTATTTGTAATTAACGACTTTATATGCGTAGTTTTTTAATGCTCAAGTTAATTTAATGATGAATATTATTCAATTATGAATAATCTTTTAAATAATAATTATATTTCTGAATCTATAAATTAATAAATTATAGTCATGATAGTATCGATACTTTGTATTCAACTTAATTTTGAGAATAAAGTATATTCACACACTTATAGTCTTCTAATATTTCAAGCCTTATTTAATTTCATTTCGATCAAATTTCTTAATCGTATATGCTTTCTATGGTCTTGTACTGAAATTATCGACTCACTCACTCTCTCTCTCTCTCTCTCTCTCTCTCTCTCAATTTATGTTCCTTTCTAGTTTTATTTATATATTATCACAAATATATTTTTACATTTCATCGAAGCTACTAATTAATGGCTTTATGTTTTTATTTTTATCCATTTATTGTTTTTATTTCTTTTTTTAATATACGTAACTGTATGTGTCACAATTATAGAAACATGCAATGGCTTAATTAACAATCTTTATAAACTTATTAAATATATATTGTAAGAAAATATCTTGTTATTCGACCAAATTTTTATCATTCGTTATTATAACTAAAAAAAAAAAGAACTAAATATAAATTGTGGAAATTTATATTAGCTTTAAAAATTTGTTGGCTTACACCAAAGCATATATGATTAATAGCATATATGTAACAATAACAACAATAATATACGATTAATAATTAATTATAGTTTTATACTTCGTATTAGCTTATTGTTTCAGAAATATAGTAATTATTATTCTATAATTAATGATACAATTCAAGCTTGGCTAATAATTAAACACTTTCCATAAATTTAAAAGTAATATTTATACTTATTTAATATATTTATGTATTTAAGCATACTCTCCGTCACTTGTATTTAACACTATTCAGAAATGTATATAAATATATATATATATATATATATATATATATATATATATATATATATATATATTCATTCATTTTCTAGGAAATCAATTTTACACAACGGATTTTATATTTATTTATCGATTCATTATAAAACTGACCTTGATCACCTCAAATATTATATTAAATTTCTAATTACTATGTTAATATATTTTATCAATGTTCTCTTAAACGGGACGTGTGATAATAATTCGTTTTTACAAGTTTTTTAAATATACTACTAACAGAGACGCGAGCTCGAATTTGTTTCTAAGCAAAGTTAAATTGTTTGATCAATATATTAAATAGAATTTATTGAGATAGAAAGCGTCGATATTTTTTTACTTCAATTCGTACTTTACTTTAATTCGTACATTATTTTTCATTCACAACTTTACTTCTATTAATGCATTTTGCTTATTACTACTAATTTATTACTCGTTACATTATTTATATTATTAATGATGAATATACTCGATAGACTTCTCTACTTTGCTACGCTTTGTTTGCTTTACTTTCCAATATCTTATAGCAACACGCACAAACAATAATTATTTTTCCCTCGCATCAAATAAAATTATTTATTTAAAAGGAATAATAATAATAAGGACAAGAGCATAGAAGTTAAGGTGTGACATGCGTTTGCGCAGGCAAATAAGGAGAATCGGCGCACCAACCAGAAATCTCCGATTGAATTGCTAACTTACGCATGTATATACAAAAGAGGTCGTTTCTTGCTCTCGGCCGATTTCTTTTTTTTTGATATCTCTGAAATAGACGAGAAAACATAGGTCCACTGTCGGTGATGCGAGTACATTTTTCACCCTAAAATGGCATCGGCATTGGAGCAATTTGTTAACAACGTTCGGGCTTTGACCGCGGAAGGTATACATAACAATGTCATTATTTTACAAAACATAACCTCTAAGGGTTTTAAAACACTTTTCTGTTTTTATTTACTGTGCTTGTACGAAGAGGAAATTACGCTCTAAATGAGTATCGTATTTTCAATTTAAATTTCACTCTTATCTGTTTGGCATTTTCAGAAAACTTTCGCGAATTAAGCAGTGTTCTGACAAAATTCAACGATGTACTGAAGAAGAATGTTCAACATCTTGATAATGTATTGGAAACACTAGATCTGCAGCAGCATTCTATTGGAATTCTTGCTGTTCTGTGTGCTAAGTTTTCAGATTTCAATTTTGTTAGTGTTACTATGGAAGTATTTAAGCCACTGTTCAATCAGGTTCAAGAATTTATTGTTGGGTGTAATGGAGAACAAGTTCGGTTAGTCCCTGATATGTGTAAGTGCGATAATAGTGAATATTATATTGAAAAGAATCGGTATCCCTATAATATTGTACATAGGCAATATTAACTGCCTTAAATTTGATACTTTTTTATATTTAATAATACTATCGTTATTTATATGCTAGGTCAAACATTAAACTACAAAACAATTGATTTTTAATACAATTTTGTACTGGACCGGTGCATTTTTTTATATATTAAGTTTATCGATCTATTAGATGGATGAATTTCAGATTAAGCTTTTAATTGTACTCTTATATTGTGTATCAAATAATGTCTGTTATGCAGCTACTTGGCATTTTGTTAATTTAAAATTTATTTCAACAGATGCAGAATTGTGTCATCATTTTACAGATGCTCTGGTTGAAGTAAAGATGCCTATAAGAGGTATCGATTTGCTTTGTAGAGCGATACGAAAAATTCAGTTATATGACAGTCAGTTAACTTCTATACATGGAGATCTTTGCAAACTTTGCCTTCTTGCAAAGTGCTTTAAGCCTGCCTTAGAATTTCTTGACATTGATATTACTGGCATTAGTACGGATGATGATGCAAAATACTTTTTACTCTATTTTTATTATGGGGGAATGATATATACGGCTTTAAAAAATTATGAAAGAGCTTTATACTTTTTTGAAGTTTGTGTTATGACACCTGCGACTGCTGTGAGTCATATTATGTTAGAAGCATATAAAAAGTATATTCTTGTATCTCTGATTTTAAATGGAAAGATTATATTACTTCCAAATTACACAAGTAATTTAGTTAAAAGGTAAAATTAATACTTATATTGATTTTATATTTTATATTTAACTTAAGCTTTAGATTAAAATAAATTTTTCATTTTATTGAAATAAAAAAATGTTACGAAGATATGTAAAATTATATGTGTGTGCCTGTTATATATACATATATATATATAGGCACGCACGCACGAACGCACACGCATGAACGCGCACGCACACGCACACGCGCACGCAGAGGTACCGCGTATGCACGCTCGCACACATACGCGGCAGATTTTTTAATGTATATTGGCTGAAAAATTTTGACTTCAAGAATTTATTAGTAGAATAGATTGATATTCCAAAATAAAAAGACAATATTTTGAATGACATTTCAATAATATCATTTAATTGGCTTAAAGTATAAAATTAACATCAAATTTACGCAAGTGTGAGAATTTTAATGGATATTAAAATTTTGAAGAAAAAACTTTACTGCGGATAAATTCAATTTTAAAGATATTTGCAAATACTACAAAATTACAGTGCACAGCTTGATATCTTAAAATTTTAATGAAAAATTATGTAATTTTCAAATATTAGAAAAGAGCTCCCTAAATATGAATATTATATTAAAATCAATAATTTCTTTGCATAAAGTTAGACATTTTAAATGTAAGAATTTTCATTTTTTCAATATTTGAAAATCATATCTTCATTTTCAAACATCATTATTTATTACAAAATTGATTTATATTATTTTTAAAAATATTTTAGATATTTTTATTATAAAACGACCAGTTTTTATGATTTTTTAATTTAAAAATAATTGATACTTATCAAACAGAAAATCTTTTATTTTAAAAACAAAAACATTTGCAATTAATTATACATATAATTACAAATAATAAAAATGTTATATAATATTAAGGTACAGGTAAATATATGGAGTATAGATAAATAAATTGTATTTATTTAAATTTATAAGTTTATAAAGTACTAAAATATTTACTTTGATGTTTATAATAATAATTCATCTTTTAGGCACATAAAAAGATTAAGTATACCTTATCAAGAATTAGCAACTGCGTATAGTACAAATAGTTGTGATGATGTACAAGAAATTATTGAAAAATACCAAGAAGTTTTTGTAAGAGACAACAATATAGGATTGGTCAAGCAAGTGCTTAGTTTCCTATATAAAAAAAATATTCAAAGACTCACAAATACCTTTCTGACATTAAGTTTGTCCGATGTAGCAGCTCGCGTAAAGTTGCCTGGTCCAGCTGATGCGGAACAATATATATTAAATATGGTATAAATGGAAATATTAAAAATACGTAATCGAGTAAAATGGATTAACAATGTGATTGATTTTACAGATTGAAGATGGTGAAATCTTTGCTACGATTAATCAAAAAGATGGAATGGTCATATTTCACGATGATCCAGAAAAGTACGATTCTCCAAGAATGCTCGCAAAGCTTGAAAAAGAAATGGCAGAGTGCGCTGAACTTGGGAAAAAAGTGCTTGAAATGGAAGAAGAAGTAATAGTAACACCACAATATGTTCGTAAAGCTTGTGGCCAAAATGATCCAGACGATCAAGCAGCTGGCCCCCCACCTACTAACGTTTCGAATGCTCAGAGTCAACCAAAACATAATACATACACCATGTAACACAACACAAATAAGACATTATTTATGTGAAGAAATACACAACATAAGGAATTCATTAATGGATTCAAGAAATTATTAATTAAGAGATTTTGAACACAAAATTCCAGCCTGTTTTGTCTGGCTGAATTATATCCTGTATCCCTGTTTTACTGATATCTTACTTTTACAATTTTTCGAACAACTATTGTTTATTTATATTGATCTCTAGTTTGAGATTATTTAGTGAAAACATTGTACGACTAAATTATCTTAAGAAATAAAAGATATTGTTTTATTTAAATGATTATAAAGCGCGTGAGATATTATGATGTAATATTATGTATATTTGTTAACTCAATGTCTTGTAAAAATGAGAATGACAGTAAATTAGGTATGTATTAACTTGCTGGAATCTTTTACATAGTTTCATGTAAAATCAAGATGTTCCTGTAAATTTTTTTAATTAAAAGTTTAAACATTTGTTTTTGTTTAGTTTATTATACTTTTAAATGCATCTGAATCAATAAATTATACAAAGCAGGCATAATGAATTTTGAATACATTAATTGGAAATGTGATATCTAGTTATGAGCGATCATGTTACATTATATGAATGAGTGTTTTTTCTATAAATGTTCAAAATTTCACATCTTACACATAAGAAAACCTGTTCATAATTTTTAAGCAATAAAGGATAAAAAAATATAATTTTTAAACGGTTATAAATATCTATGAAATTTTTAATCGTAATTAAAAATTTATTAACACAATGGAATTCTTTATTTGAATGTATTAAATATTTTATTACATTTCAGCTACGCTTTTATTATATTTATATAAATTATTTAGATTTATTTCTTTAATTTATGATAAAAGATTCTTTGAACCCATATACCCATATAGCATATTTTAAATCATAAAAATATTAAAAGGTTATAATTACCATTAATTTTGAATTTCTTAATAAATCTTTTCTAATAAAAGACTTTACTAATCTTACTAATCATTATTATTAAGTAAATAATATCAATCGAGCATATAGTTAATCTATTTATATTTCTATATTAAAGTCGTTTAATGCTTAATACATAAATTCTTCAATTTCATGTTTTAATACATAATTTTTTCAATTTCATGTTTTATTACATCATACAATTCATTTAGACTTTTATTTCCATCAAGAAATGTTATAGTTTTATATAAGTTTGTATCTAAGATAATTTCAGATTTATGTTTTAAATATTCAGGCCAAACAATTTTATTGAAATACTCAGGAACGTCTGGAGGATTGTATACTCGAGTTTTTCTTCTATTACTACACGTTTCTTTGCTTATTTCTATAAAATACTTTTGTTTACATAATTGTGCTATAGGTTTATAATTATAAATTAAAAAGCCTTCTATTATGAAGCATCTAAATTTTCTATTCAAATCAACTGAATAAGCATCTGGAGCCGATTGAATAATGTTTATTATATCAGAATACATTTTTGACATATCAAGACTTGAAAGAATTTCCCAATTGAAATGATTTAATTCTGAAATAAACGAATGCTTAGGATTATCTTCGGATAAAAAGTAGGTATCTTGTGACATCAAAATTGAATCTTGGATATTATCATGTAATTTTTTAGCTAAGCTAGTCTTTCCGCTACACGTTGGTCCAGATATACCAATCACTAACCACTTCATTTTGATTTTTTTTGTTATTGTTGTAATACTGAATTGCAATATAATAGAGCAGAATTTTTTAAGTTCGAGCAGTTTCTGTTTTAATTAAAAAATTAGTTTCTTGTTTGTTTGTTACGTCTCACAACTATTAATAACTTACAATACTTTACAAATTCACTGTTAATAATACAGATGCATATTGTATAAAAATTAATTCTTATCTATAAACGCATGCACACATGCATGCATGTATATATATATATATATATATATATCTATACACACGCACTACAAACAAATATATGTACTATAAATATATATTACAATTTTTGTGCATAATTAGTTACTTTTACTTGTAGGGTATACAAAAATATAAAGAAATACAATACAAATATAACTTTGTATTAATAAGTAACGAAACTTTATTTATGAACTAAATGTATAATTCAATGTTTGTTTAGTCTTATCTTTGATTGTGTAGGATCAAGCATGATAAGTGATATTTATCATTGAAATACTTGAAAAGCACAAGTCATTGATAACAGTGATTGTAACGCGAGTAATTATAAGGTATTAATTACAATTCACTTTCTATCCTTAATTTTATTTCCCATAATAAGGATGCAAGTGATAGGCAGTAAATATCATTAAACCACCGACAAAACACAGACCACTGATAGCCGGAACCATTAATGCAATATTCTGTGGGTAAAATAAAGTCTTTACTCTGTTGTCATCTATAAAAGGTAATCCAATCACCCATATAGTGTAGTAAATGAAAATAATGGAAGCTGTTATTAATAGTGCTTTCCCTCTCTCTTGATCCGTATCCAGCATTATTTAGCTTTTTCAGAATATTAATATGATACTTATTAGCCAAAGTATTCTGCTTCGAATTTTTGGAAATCTTCTTCGGTGAATACTGTCTTTTCTTCCTCAACTGGCTTATCCTCTTCTGTAAGATAACGTTTCTTCACTCCTCTATCTATAACCTAAAGCATAAAATAAAATAAAAATTTTTAATAAAAAACACATTTGTTTCATATCGAAGGACTATGGTTAGCTTACCTTTTTCATTACTTCTTCATCATATTTACAATTACTGAGACGTAGTAGTTTTCTTATATTTTCTTCCATACGGTTACTTTTAGTTTCCAATTTTTTTTTTGCATCCGCGACCGTTAGCGTACTCGATCGTTTTAAGATGACTTAAAAGAAAGTGACATAATTATAATTATCTTATATATAATCCCTGCATTACTAAGCTTATCCGGCTTATTGACTCATTAAATTTATATACATGGAATGTTAGAAATGATAAAATGATAAAAATAATAAATAAAAGTTAAATAATTGACAATGACGCCGATCATTGCTTAAAGCTTTGAATGAAACTTTAATATATATGATAGTTGTAGAAACATATTTTATAAACAATTTTCAATTTTACCTCGGATGAAAAAAATAGTCAACTTTAAATTAGAGATTCTTTTGAAGTTATATGTATATAAGGTACCTTTTTTATTGTCTTTAGAAATTAGTCGATGCTTAGTAGGAATTAAATCTAAGATTCCTGCAGATGTCGATTTCCTTTTTTTGGACTTATCTATAAATTGTGTGCAATGTAAATTAAAAGGTTAAATTCTTTCGTACATTGTTAATATATACAATTAACCATATTTACTCAAATCTGCTATTTACATCTAACTCGCGCTTACCATTAACTACATCATTTTCAAATGTGAGAAGTTCTAAGCTCTTTTTAACCAAAGAGTTTGACATTTCGATTATATTTTATTTATTTTACAAGTATAGTTTATTAAAAGAAATGTGTTCAATAACATATTTCACCTACGCTGCTGATAAAGGCACTACACAAACAGGATATTAAAAATTCCTTTTTTATCGATCGTTAGTTAATCATCAATCACATTGTCATGACATGTTTTGCAGTAAATTCTTACCGGCATTACAAAATATCCCATTAATTTTAATTACAATTTCTAATCGTTTCTCATTAATTATGCATAAGCGATATGATTGAGTAATAATTTTATTATATTCTTATTACAATTGTGTTATGCATAATGATAGAAACGAATTATTTATAATAATTAGGCGATAAATGGTTTAATCAAGCTTCACGGGGGAGGGGGAGGGGGAGGGGGGAGGGGGGAGGGAGGAGGGAGACTGCCGCGTACAATGATAATAATTACAATTACTAGGATATATTGGCGCTTTAGCCGTAAAGTTTAACGATATTATAGTCACAAAACAAAGCTCACTATACAGTATTGGTTGGCAATAATTATAGCGTAAAATGAATTTCACGTCATCAGAGATTATCAGAGAAAATGTAATATTATTCAATGATAATAGTGAATCTGCGAATAGTGAATTGTCGCAAGTCTTCCTCTCATACGATGTCGGCACACGTGTTGCACTAAAGGGGTCGTGACTCCCATTTCCAACCGACGACAAAAATTCTATTGTATCGTCCAAGTTCGAGATGGTAATTCATCCATCAGCGACATCTGTTATCGATAATAAGACACAAAATCGAATAATTGATAGTCTAATAAAATAGAAAATAATATTAGTGTCTTGATAATTCACCATCGTGGCGAATAATTAAAATTCCCTTGGTTTTTGTTTTTTAATCGTTGTGCCGTTCGTTTGTGCGATTGTGGCATCATTACTGCCATTTCTAGAGAGTGTAAAAAAGGTCTTTGGAGTAATTCAGCACGATTGGATTGAATTGCATTTCAAGTACGAAAATATTATAATTCACGGCGCTGTAGAAACATTGTTCTCCTATTGCATCGTTCATTCGATGAAAAATCATATTTGTACTAACGTATTATTTCATCCAGATTAGATTTAATGTTAATTATATTTATTCGGAAGAATGGATTTTTTCTTAATGCGGGTATGAATCATTTGACTGGATGTGATTACAAATCGGCAAATAACTTTAGGCTACGTATGTAGAATAAATTCTCGGTAGTGTGGATTATTTTCAAATTTTTCGCGTGATTCGCCATCCGTCGGTTCAGGGATGTAATAATCGCAGCAATATATCGCCGTGTGCATGCCATTATTATAAAAGAATTCAATTCCTCGAGCATATACGCATGGCTTATAAGAGAATTCATTTTATTAATGGGATGCCGACTTCTCGGGCCCGACACAATAGATTCTTAATTGATTTTGATGGAGTGACTTGCACTATAATAGTTATCCATTTGGACAGGTCCATTGTGTCGTAAGCATCGTCTATTAAACGGAGGTGTTTAGGGAAAGTTGAAATTATTATTCTTTTACTTTTTTTTTTTTTTTTTTTTTTTTTTTTTTTTTTGACGGAAAGAGCCATTTCATCGTATCGATTTCCTTTACGCGGTTTTCTCATTGCAACGACAATAATACTAAAAATATCACGATACTTATTGATAATTTATTCCTTGACGCAGCTTTAAAAAGCGAAAAAGTGAAACGTTCTTTTTTTTATTTACGGCGCTTTCTAAATTTCTTTATCTATTATTTAAAGTAATGAAAGTGTATGGGGGAAATCAGCTCGATTGTACTTTAACCTCACATTTTCATAGATCAATTTTAGTAATAAATTAATTTCTACCTAAACGATGTGCCAAATAAGCGATAAAGATATTTTATTTTAACTGAGGGAGAGGAGTTCTTTTTCTCTAAAAAACGATTAAAAATAAATCTGACCAATGTGTCACTGAGCGAGCGAGCTTCAATATCCTTGAAATTGAAAAAATTATTAAATTTTGCGAAGGCTTGATTTGATCGATGCGTCTTTATAATGAATGATTTTTTGTTTTGTATTTTTAGCTTTCTTTCTTACATTATCATCATTATGTTTTATCTGTAAATATGCAATGTGTTAACATTTAGGGCTTATAAAGTATTTGTATGTGTTAATTTTTTTATTTTATTTGAAGAATGTTTAAAAGTATGTACATTGCGTTAAAGGTTAAATTTGAAAATAGAAGAAAAGTATAAAAATGATGGCTTTACTAATAAGTCAAGCTTGATTTATGCAAATCAAATGAATGATTGTCTGGTTGTATATTTACTCATCTTGTAGCACAGTACTTTTTTCTTTTTTCTTTTTTTCAATCCAATCAATCAGAACAGCTTATATCCTAATAATTAATATATCAGAGCGAATAACAATCACCTCATTTTATGAAAATATAATGTTTTCCACCTTAACAATATTTAATTGAAATTAAATAAAATTCACCCTTATATATTGTGAGTCATCCGATAATTTCAATGGATAATATGATATTGAAAATTCTATCATCATTACCAGAATGGCATACAAATCGCAATCAGCAATTACTGTTGCAAATCCCATTAAATTAATGTAAAATGTTTAATTATTCTATTATCGATTATTCACTTACTTTTAGCAACTTAGAGTTTTGAAAGTTTGTGTGTGCGTGTCCATCAAGAATGTGTGGAAAGATGAGATTTGGTTCAGTATGGATACGAGACATTGGTGAAGAAATGCGATAATAATTAAATTACTTTAGTTTTTTTTTTAAAGAAATGTGTTTTTGCAATTATTTTGGATTTCATTGCGACTTCATTAAGTTTAAAGCAGTCATTATATACAATTAATTCGAGGATTATGTGTAATTTTGATTAAGATTCGATTTTTAAACACTAAACTAATCAAAAGTATAATATTTTATATTTAATTTAGTTATTTTTCTAACATTAATTGTAAAATATGCAGTAAATGATAAATTAAAATGGAGAATATCGAGGTGATACGCTAAATACTATTTTACATTAAAAGATGCAAATTGTTATTTAAATATATTGTCGATGTTGATTTAATTTCATATAATGTATTTATCAGATGGTAGTCAATTCATAGCTTTTACAATAAAATTTTATCTATTTTTTTTCTCAATCAATAGATTCATTTAATAAATATATTCATTAAATATAGATAATATGATTTTCTTCATTTTTCCTTTTCAATTTAATGACAATTACGATCATTATAATTATTTTATATTTAAAAGGCCTTATATTCTTTTTTTTTTTTTTTTTTTTTTTTTTTTAATTTTAAATATAACGTTGGAAATGGAAAAAGTTTATATTTTTAATCTTATATTTATTAAAAGTTCTTTCGTTATTGGTAATAAAGCGAACGAAAATTTTATGAAAGTATAAAAGATAAACTTGTGAAGAGTATTAGGATTTTTTTATTTTAAGTTACATTAAATATCTTAATTCTTTCTTAATAATATTTTTAAAACTATATAATTATTTAATTTTTATATAAAGTGATGTATGTATAGTCAATTTGTGAGATAATATATTAAATTTTACTTAAATAGATTTATTTCTTATCTAACCCTTATCTTATTTATAGTATTCATACAATAAGAATGTATATATTAGGTATTTTTAAATTTCATACAATAAGAATGTATATATTAGGTATTTTTAAATCTTTTAAGAATTTTTTGTTTTTAATTTTAATGTTTTTATGCTAGTTGTTAGGAAAATTTGATGCAGAAATACAAAATGTCATCATAATTGAATTTATTGTGGGTAGGTGAGCAAGTTTTTAAAATAGTTCCCAATAAAAGTAACTTTATTTATAAATATTATTTAACAGTCGATAAATATATACAAGCAGTTTTAAGAAGTTTCCACAAAAATGAAAAAAAAAAATAACTTTGCGCATACTTTTTTTTTTTTTTAAGCTGCCAAATTTTGTTACGAGAAAATGTAATTTATGTGAAAATTCTTCAGCATCATTAAAAAGTGTTTATTTTCATATAAATCAGCAGAGAGTGCCACAGATATCGAGTTTAGCTCGTCGCTTACGCACATTACTGAACAAAATCAACGGCATTTTAATGGAAGAGTTGTGAGCGAAAGTGCACGTGATCGTTTGGTTCTTGGTCGAATCAATACACAATATTTTGCATAAAATGCATGTGAAAATGCTGGATGGATGATATGTACTACACAATTGTTGACTGCCGATCAAAAATAGATGTTAGAAAAGGCTTAATACGGAGTCGAGAATTTTTGCATGGATTTGCAACGTGAACGAACTCGATATATAAGCTGTACTTTATAACTGGTGAAAGTACACTGAAGACGACTAAAATTACTTTCAGCACCTTTCTCTGCAAAATTATTTGAATATCCACTACTTAAAGACGGATAAAACAGTAACGGAAATCTATTATATGGCATTATTGAACGACCTGGAAAACGGGTTGAAACAGAGTGGAATAAAAATTCTCCTTTACCAAATGCGAAAATTGTAAGAGGAATTAATTGATAATTCGATTCCTTCTTCATGCTTCTATCAGGGTATCATGAAATAATAATCTTGTTAAATAGAACAAATTCTTCCCGAATGAAAATACCATTGATATATAGTCGCTGCTTTCGAGAAAGTAATTTTTTTTTTCTATCTTTCTCCTCACTCCCCCTTCTCTCTCTCTCTCTCTCTCTCTCTCTCTCTCACTCCATTTTTTAAAAGGGTATTTAATCGAATTTAACATTAGACCAAATAGGTGGCTTAGAATTGCAATTGCATTGTCAAATGAAATCAACTTTTTCTCGGTATACCCATGTTTAATTTTTGTTGTTATACTTATATCAAATGACTCTTGTATTATTCGTTTTGAATATCACGTTCTACGAAGAACTCTACTTGCCAATGTCAACAGTCATATTACTAAGCACAGCTGTATGCGATGCATTTTCAAAATGTGTAATTCAAGACGTTAAATTTGAATGTCAAGCGAAATAAAGTATGTCAAAATGTTACAAAGAAAATTCGTCGCCGGTAGTAGAAC